GGAGCAAAGAGAAGAAGAACGCCTCAGAAGGTAGCGATATTTATTCTATCTGCTTTATCGTCGATATTATCCTCCATTGCAACTGCTAGTATTACCGCGGAATATCTTCTTCTCTTGCAGACGTGTCCTTCGTGAAAATAGAGAGCTGATGGAGCAGCAGGAAAGGGAATATCGTGAGAGTGAAGAGCGTGATCGTGCGCTGATCGCAGAACGTCGACGCCAGCGGGAACAAAAGGAAGAAGAACAAAGGATGCAAAAAGAGCAAGAAACGGAACGCGCAGCTAAAGAAGCTGAACGAATGAAAGTAGGCCCCTTCTCCGCTTTTCCATATTATTTCACCCAAATCATGGTTTCATCATCACTACTTTTGAAAGGTTTTATAACTGCAAATAATCATTTCCTGTTTGATGCTGATTCTTCACAGAAGTTTGGTGTTTCTCTCTTCACATTTACTTCTAAGCTGATATGTGGTAGTTAACGCATTCTGCTAGGAGTCGTTAATCGCCTGTTCTTTTATCTAGATGGGTGGATCGTTTGTTGCGTCAGTTAGATGCACATCAGATCAATTTTGAATCATTTCCTTTGGCTGTAACTTACTCAAGAAAGATTGCAGTAAATATCGCATAATACCTTTCAATTGCAAGGAATTTAGGTGTTCTGATTTTTGAATATTATAATCTTTTAAGTTAGTGCTTGTGTTATCTAGGGTCTTCGCGAATTGCGTGACGAATTTATCAACAATAGTCGTTCTGACGATTATAATGGAGAAGACTCGATCAGAGTCCTCGTTCGTTATCCTTCTGGAGAAACGAGTCAACATAGGTTTTCGCCAAGAGAAAGCGTAAAAGTTAGTCGGTCATTCTTTAATTTAAATGATTTGCCTAATCCGTTATATTTATTTTCTTTCAGAATCTCTTTGAAGTTGTTTTTGCAAAGCCATGTTGTCCTTGGTTCTTTGAAGCTTACTATGGATTCCCACGTGCAAAGCTCAACTTCTGCTCTTACAGGTTATTCATTGTATATGTTATCATTGGCAACTTAATGGTTTCATTTACATTCTTTTTCCACAAAGTAATGGCCGGGTTTTTAAATGTATATTTAAACTTTCCTCTATGATACTTTGCAGATACCATGAACTCCTCAGCGATTTTCGCCTTTCTCAGAACCAGGATACTGAACCATGGGAGGTGCCAAAAACGTTTGAAGAACTTGGCATTTCGTTCTCGCTTACAGTTTACATCAGTGATGTAGAAAACTAATTAAATGGAGTTCTTGGCCTGGCCGCCTCTCTCTCTGGAAACTTATCAGATGCAAGGATAATTGTCGCACTAAATCCGTTTTCCTATAGTCTCAATGAGTGACTTATTGGACCAATAATTCTCTACTTCTTTAGACCAACTGGGGCTCTCTGCGGTTTTCAATTTCCATCATCTACTTGTACTTTGATAATTTCAAGAAAATTTTTTTTGCATAGTTACTTAGTTTTAAAAAGTAGATTTGCTCGAACAGTTGGTGGTTTACTAACCACAACACAAAGAAATAGCTTTGGCAATCCTAATCCTTCATTTTTGCTTTTTAAATCCCATGTCCCTTCAAAATTAGTTCATGTTAACCCTGCCCAAGCATCAAATGTTTTTGAGTTGAGCTGATTTGTCCAGATATTTTTCATTTCGGAAATACCCGTGTTTTACGCAGACTTTGACCTATATTCAAACTTTATATCACTTATACCTCGGTTTCTTTGTTTCTCCCTACTTTCTCCCATCAGAAGATAAAATTTGCAACTGTCGGTGTCCCAGTAGCTACCTCAAAAAGTTTACTCATTAATGACAGGCTTATCTGTCATGATGAATGATGCATTGCTACATGTTATAAGGAACTCTTCATCGAAGTTGCTGAAGTCCAGTCTTTTGTATCAGAGCCTTTTATACTTTTCATTATTTATCTTCGCAGTTTCTGGGTATATCTTATGGGTAGTTTGTTTACGACGGCGCCTGCTGATAAATTTCTTCGAGAGATGGCGTCAACTTTATCAGATTCTCATCCTTTCGTGTATTGATCCCATTTCTTGTGATTATAACATGGTACCTCTGATCTTTTTTTTTTCTGGTTATTTTGCCCTTTTTCTTCGATGTAGCAGGCTATGTCCTCTGGGACTATCCTACAGGTGACGGAAGATTTTGAGGTTAAGAAATTTTTTTTTGTCTTATAATTTGTGC